TACTGAGCACCCTACTGTCACGCGTCTCCTAGCCACTGTTGTCACTGACCCGTCGTTTGAGTCTACTGCTGCGTCTGCCTTTGTCGCTGAGCTTGTTGACTTTGCTGCTGCCTGTCGTCTAGACTACGCCGCTAGTCTTGTTGCTGAGTCTGAGTCTGTCTGTCCTCCGTCCGTCGGGGGTGAGTGTGCTCTTAGCACGGACGTCCTTGAGGACAGGCACGAGGACCTCCAGTGTCTTGCTGCTGCTTTACCTCATCTTGTGTCCTCGCTACTTGCCCCTGAGGGAGACCCGGATGCACCAGACATCCCGACTCCGCGCTCTTACGCAGAGGCGATAGAGGGTCCCTACTCCTCTCAGTGGCAGGCAGCCATGGACGCAGAGATGGCTTCCTGGAAGTCCACAGGCACCTACGTTGACGAGGTTCCCCCACCTGGGGCGAACATCGTCAGTGGCATGTGGATTTTCAGGGTGAAGCGGCCGCCGGGTTCTCCGCCTGTCTTCAAGGCGCGTTACGTGGCTCGAGGCTTCAGTCAGCGAGAGGGAGTTGACTTCTTCCAGACCTTCTCCCTCACCCCGAAGATGACCACTCTTCGGGTGCTGCTGCACGTTGCTGCTCACCGTGACTACGAGCTTCACTCTCTTGACTTCAGCACAGCTTTCTTGCAGGGTAGCCTGCACGAGGAGATCTGGCTGCGCCGCCCCCCGGGCTTCACTGGGTCGTTCCCTCCTGGTACCCAGTGGAGCCTCCGGCGGCCGGTCTACGGTCTCCGCCAGGCGCCACGTGAGTGGCACGACACACTGAGGACTACGCTTGCGGCTCTTGGGTTTGCGCCTTCTACTGCTGACCCGTCGCTGTTTCTGCGCACCGACACTTCCCTGCCGCCGTTCTACATCCTCGTGTACGTCGACGACTTGGTTTTTGCCACTGCGGACACTGAGGCTCTCGCCCACGTGAAGTCGGAGCTGCAGAAGAGACACACGTGCACAGACTTGGGTAAGCTGCGCAGCTACCTTGGCTTGCAGAGCACGTCGCACCATCACCTTGACTCAGTCACACATGGTGCAGCAGGTCCTTCAGCGCTTCGGCTTCACCTGGTCTTCAGCACAGGCCACTCCTCTAGCTACAGGTCACACGCTCTCAGCTCCACCTTCGGACGAGTCCGTAGAGCCGAGTGGTCCTTACCCAGAGCTAGTCGGCTGCCTCATGTACCTGATGACTTGCACTCGACCTGACCTCGCGTACCCTCTTGGTCTCCTGGCTCGCTACGTGGCTCCTGGTCGGCACCGACCTGAGCACATGGCTGCTGCTAAGAGGGTACTGCGTTACTTGTGCAGCACATCAGGCATGGGGCTTGTGCTTGGAGGGACGAGCCCAGTTGTCCTCACTGGGCACTCAGACGCTTCTTGGGTTGACGACCTGGCTACTCAGCGGTCGTCACAGGGTTACACCTTCAGCCTTGGCTCTGGTTCAGTTTCGTGGCGTTCTACACGCTCGTCTTCAGTTCTCGGCTCCAGTTGTGAGGCTGAGATCTACGCCACCGCCATGGCTGCACAGGAGTTACGCTGGCTCACCTACCTGCTGACTGACTTGGGAGAGCAGCCTCGTTCTCCTCCAGTGCTGTACGTTGACAACAAGGCCGCCATTGCCTTGTGTGAGGAGCACAGACTGGAGCACAGAACGAAGCACATTGCTCTGCGGTACTTCCTGGCTCGAGAGTTGCAGCAGCGAGGCCAGCTTCGTCTTCGCCACGTGGCCACTCGGGCCAACACTGCTGATATATTCACCAAGGCACTTCCGTCTGGTGATCATCAGCGCTTTTGTACTCTGTTAGGCCTTGTGCCTACGTTTCCACACTTGCTGTAGTCTCTGCTTGTACTGTGATCTGTACATATATATATATATATATATATATATGCATGCTGGCTCTTGCTAGGTAGCCATCACTGTACTGTTATTGCTGCATATATATCTCTGCATGTGAACTGGCCCTGTGGCCCTTTGCTTGTGCTCGGAATGCGTGGTGACGTTGTGATCCACCCTGAGCTTGTTTTGCTTCTCTTGACTGGTCGTGTGACCTCTTGTTCTCCCCCACTTTGCCTATGGGGGTGTGTCAAACTATATGTGCTGCATATTGTCTAGGCTGTAGTGGGGTAGCCCATATGGGGTACAACCCAATTAGGGTTTACTACTTGTACTCCTGCATCCTGTTAGTTCAGTCATTCCTGCTGCTAGATTCTAACACTACACACATTCTATGATGTGATGTGTGGGTGAGAATCCTCTATTGTACCAATGTGCAATTGTTATGCCTAACTCTGGCTAGATATGATGCTGATGATTTACCTAATCACTGACGACATTGTATGTGTATTGAAGTCATTTTTGGAGTTACACACAATTGTTTTGAAAAAAAAAATTGCTCATTGAATTGAAAACTTGAGCTACACTCCTTGGTCTTTGAACCATCATCATCATCTGTTGCTGGAAAAGTGACTTCAAGAATGTTATGTATGTGTGCAAATGTATTGCAGCATCTGGTTCTGTGCTTCAAATTCTTAGGTAACCTCAAAGTAGACAACACCCGCACCATAATCAGGCAAATGTTTGGGTTTTCTCTAGCGGGGATGAAAGCCCCCTGATGGTTCACAAGCACACGACACAGTTCAAATTCAAACCATGGTCTGACACGAGCCAGCAGAAATGTTGACCGCGGCTCGTACAATGTCATCTCGTGATTGGTGCTAGCTATTGACCATACCATCCACACCATGCCACACCAAAACAAGCAGTCTCACCAACGCCGGCGAAGAAGTCCCGGATGCTCACAACGACATGCCTTCTGGTTATGATGCCGTCGTAACACTTTTCGCCTTCAACCCGATGTTTCGCACAAAATTACTGCCAACCGCCGGACAATGCGCGCGCCAGTGCACCACTGTTTCCGACGACGCGCGCGCCAGCGCAACACTGTTCCCGCCTTCCTTCACTTTTCATTGGCCGAAATTCTCTCACTCCCCGCCTGTCAGCGGAACCTGTCCACATTCTCAGTGGCGTCCCCCTCGCCTTCCAGTGCTTCGCATGGTGACGACTCCTCGCCCACTTCACTTCCCTTATGCCGAGACCCTCTCTGTCGGCCACACAGCACCCTTTTCAGCTATCCTCAAACCCTCTGAACCAATCTGAACCGTCCTGACCTCCCCTCCCTCTCATCCACTTCCATTTCTTCTCCATTCCCAATCAGAAGCTGCTCTTGCCATTCCCGAACAGTGTCCTTCACTAATCTCAGACATTCCCTAGGCAGCGTAATCCTCTGCTGTGAAACGAGTCTGGGTAACTCGGAGTCCATGGCTTCCTCCGTTGTGACTACCGTTGATGGTATTCAGAAATTTAAAACTAGAAGACTATAGCCTGTCTAAAGTTCCGAATATATATCGCCCAACTCATAAACTCGATGACCATCAGCCCTATGATTCAGCTTTCAGAGTTACGACGAACGATCAGCCTAATAGTTCAACTTTCAGGGTTACGGCCGTCGGTCTTCGTTACCATTAAATATAACATCGGGTCGACCGTTTCATCAGTTCTGTCGATGGATCTTCACAATAGCTGTTTCATTTTCAGCTCCCGAGTCGCGACGTGATTTTTCTACAGCAATCGCTCAGATCCCATCAAGCTTCATCCTATGATGAACGATACGACGGGGTCGCTCCACGCACGCAGTCTGCAACAGATGATGCGACGTTACAATGAATCATTTCACGCAATCGGCGACATTACAACGGATGCGACTTTGCGAATGAGCCTCTCCATGCCGTTTGCTACTGAGACGCTCGCGGCGAAGTTATGACGGGGTCTGCCGATGCATGAGCTCGACGAAGCCGACCTTTGAGATGCTCCAGTCGACGAAGTTCGACGAAGCTAAGACGGCGACGACGGTGATTCGCGGCGATTCGTGGCGAAGGCGGATCTGACGATGGATGAGTTCCCCGAAGCCATCAGCGGACTCTAAACTCGAGTTCGCGAAGCCTTCAGCCCTCGCGACATTACGTAACGACGACATTACCTCGTGTGCATCCCGTCAACGACTGAGGTACTACAAACGTCAACCTCTTTATCTTGCTTCTTAATCTTACACGCTTGTTCTTATCACGCTTGTTCTTATCACGCTTTATGCAGGTTCTTCTTTATGGTTCTCTTTCCCAGTCTATGCTTGTTCTCTTACTACCCATTTTTGTCTCTCTTGCCGCGGTTCAAGCAGGAGAATCGCGGAGTCTAATCGCGGATTCGTACACGCGATTGACCGGTCTTCCGGTTTGCGAACTTCCGGCGCGGAACATGCGAATTGAGCTGCGCGGATCACGCGGATTGAGCTGCGCGGATCACACGGATTGAGCTGCGCGGATCACACGGATTGAGCTGCGCGGATCACGCGGATTGAGCTGCGCGGATCACACGGATTGAGCTGCGCGGATCACACGGATTGAGCTGCGCGGGTCACACGGATTGAGCTGCGCGGGTCACACGGATTGAGCTGCGCGGATCACGCGGATTGAGCTGCGCGGATCACGCGGATTGAGCTGCGCGGATCACACGGATTGAGCTGCGCGGGTCACACGGATTGAGCTGCGCGGGTCACACGGATTGAGCTGCACGGAACCATGCAGCGTTTTGGGGTCGGATGGAGCAGCGTAGCGGTACAGCGTGGTGCAACGCGGTGCAGAGTGAAGACGCAGAACTATGCTGAAAGACACGTTCGAGCTTGTGGTGAGTTTCATCCAGCAACCAATCTCTAGGTTCAACGTTTCCTGATTGTATCTTTTTCCAGTCGCTATTTCAGATTCGTTTCCGTTGCTTCTATTTGGACATTTCAGTTCCGTAGCTAGCAATTCTCACGCGCTGCGATCTGCTCTGTCTGTCCTGGTCCTTGCAGGAGTTGGTTCCTGGTCTGCCGCTAACGGAGGAGATCGCATCGCTGAATGGCGGAGATTGCATCGCTGAATGGCGGAGCTTGCGGACACGTCGACGTTCGAGCGCTTTTCATCTAATGCTGGTGGTGAGATTTCATCCAACGCCCAATCTCTAAATTAAACGTGTCCTGGCTGTATCTTTCTCCAGTTGCTATTTCAATATATTTTCCGTTGCTATCAGGACATTTCAGTTCTCATTTCAGATTCGTTTCCATTCCGCCTGACCATTTCAGAGCTGTTTCCGTTGCGCTGCGATCTGCTCTGTCTGTCCTGGTTCGTGCAGGGAACGGTTCCTAGTCTGCCGCTAATCCTGGCTGATCCTGGCGCTGCTGGAGTGCTGCTGGCTGATCCTGGCGCTGCTGGAGTGCTGCTGGCTGATCCTGGCGCTGCTGGAGTGCTGCTGGCTGATCCTGGCGCTGCTGGAGTGCTGCTGGCTGATCCTGGCGCTGCTGGAGTGCTGCTGGCTGATCCTGGCGCTGCTGGAGTGCTGCTGGCTGATCCTGGCGCTGCTGGAGTGCTGCTGGCTGATCCTGGCGCTGCTGGAGTGCTGCTGGCTGATCCTGGCGCTGCTGGAGTGCTGCTGGCTGATCCTGGCGCTGCTGGAGTGCTGCTGGCTGATCCTGGCGCTGCTGGAGTGCTGCTGGCTGATCCTGGCGCTGCTGGAGTGCTGCTGGCTGATCCTGGCGCTGCTGGAGTGCTGCTGGCTGATCCTGGCGCTGCTGGAGTGCTGCTGGCTGATCCTGGCGCTGCTGGAGTGCTGCTGGCTGATCCTGGCGCTGCTGGAGTGCTGCTGGCTGATCCTGGCGCTGCTGGAGTGCTGCTGGCTGATCCTGGCGCTGCTGGAGTGCTGCTGGCTGATCCTGGCGCTGCTGGAGTGCTGCAGGCTGATCCTTGCACTGCTGAGGTGGATCGGGAGTCTACAGCGTCACCGACTGTAATCTCTGGTTTTGGTGTGGAGATGTGTGGAATGGTATGGTGTGGTGTGGTGTGCTTTTGGCAAGACGGAGGGGACAGCAGCAGCATGCAGGGGAGTCAACGCACCCGCTCAAGGCGAACACTTCAGGCGAGGAGGCAGCTCTTAAGGTGAGGAGTCGAGTGGCGGCACTTCAGGTGAGCATTCGAGGCGGCGGCACTTCAGGTGAGCAGTCGAGGCGGAGGCACTTCAGGTGAGCATTCGAGGCGGCGGCGCCAACTTACGTCACCGACATGTGAGTCTCTGCTTTGGCAGGTCGGCGGGGGAGCAGCAGCTTGGAGGGTCAACACCGTCACCGACATGTGAGTCTCTGCTTTGGCAGGTCGGCGGGGGAGCAGCAGCTTGGAGGGTCAACACCGTCACCGACATGTGAGTCTCTGCTTTGCTTTCTTTCTGTTTTCCGCATTGCAGATGTTTGTCGTGCATGTTTCACTTGATTATGTGCTTTCCTGTTTGTCTCTCTACCCCCCCCCCCCCCCTTCCAATCCCTTCAAGTCGACTCGTGGGGCGAGGAGGGCGAGGGGGCAGCGCGCAGGCAGCAAGAGGCGTCTCCCTGCATAACCCCCCCCCTTCCATCCCCTTCAGCATGGCCGGCAGCGTGGAGGGCTACACGGCGGGCGGCACGGACGGAGGTGAGGTGCTGCTCCATCGCTGCAGCGAGGTATACCTCTTCCCTTGTCCGTTTCCGCCTTTGTCTTGCTTTCTTTCCGTTTTTCGCATTGCTTGTATTCTCGTGCCTGTTTCACTTGATCGTGTGTTGTGTTTGTCTTGTGGTGTGTGTCGCTCTGCAGCTGGCAGGGTCCAAGACCCGAAGACCGCCCCCGACTGCGGCACTGGCGTTGTGCGGCCGCTTCTGCTCCTCTCTTGTAAGCCACTGTTCTCGCCTTGATTTTTGTTGCATTGTTTTTGTATGCATTGAATCGTTTCAGCCATGTGTGATCTCTTGGCAGTAGGTCCGCTAGTGCATTTCTAGGCTGAGTTTTTGTGACTCTGTGTCTTCCCGTTTCACAGAGGAGATGCAGCAGAGGCGAGGAGGGGGAGAGGAGAGGAGGGGAAGAGGGGAGGAGGAACAGGAGCAGCCGCATCTGCTCTTCTCTTGTAAGCCTCTTATTTTGCCTTGATTTTTGTTGCATTGTTTTTATATGCATTGAATCGTTTCAGCCATGTGTGATATCTTGGCAGTAGGTCCGCTAGTGCATTTTTAGGCTGAGTTTTTGTGACTCTGTGTCTTCCCGTTTCACAGTGGAGATGCAGCAGAGGCGAGGAGGGGGGGAGGAGAGGAGGGGAAGAGGGGTGGAGGAACAGGAGCAGCCACTTCTGCTCTTCTCTTGTAAGCCTCTTTTCTCGCCTTGATTTTTTTTGCATTGTTTTTGTATGCATTGAATCGTTTCAGCCATGTGTGATATCTTGGCAGTAGGTCCGCTAGTGCATTTCTAGGCTGCGTTTTTCTGACTCTGTGACTTCCCGTTTCACAGAGGAGATGCAGCATAGGCGAGGAGGGGAAGAGGAGAGGAGGGGAAGAGAGCAGTCGTTTCTGCTCATCTCTTGTAAGTCTCTTTTCTCGCTTTGCCTTTTTTGCATTGTTTCTGTATGAATGTTTTCAGCCATGTGTGATATCTTGGCAGTAGGTCCGCTAGTGCCTCTGTGACTCAGTGTCTTCCCGCTTCTAGGCTCAGTTTTTGTGACTCTGTGTCTTCCCGTTTCACAGGTGGAGATGCAGCAGAGGCGAGAAGGGGTAGAGGAGCGGAGGGAGCAGACGGTAAGCCTCTTTTCTAGCCTTGCTTTATCGCCTTGCTTTTCTCCCCAACTGCGCCATGCCTTATTTTCTCGGGAGACTCACTGCTGTTTTATCCTTCCCATCTTTTTCAGGAAGACCGAAGACCAAAGACTGAAGACCGAAGACTGAAGACCGAAGACTGAAGACCTCCCCCCCTTCCCCCCCCCCCCTCCCCTCCTCTCCCCTCTTCTCCCCTCTTCTCCCCTCCCCTCCCCTCCCCTCCCCTCCCCTCCCCTCCCCTCCCCTCCCCTCCCCTCCCCCAGGAGCAGGTTTTTGCCCAACATGCGTGGGGATCACTGAAGTGAAGACCCCCAACTGTGGCATCAGGTGGTGTGCGGCAGGGGCTGCTAAGGGCGTTAGGGCTGGCCCCCTTAACGTCCGAAGCGCCCCTGTGTGTGGGTGCTCTGATGATGGATGGCGGGACGCTGCCTGAAGTCGGATGAGCCTCACCCCGCCTCCACCTGGGCCAGGCTCTGCCTGGTTTGAGCGAGGGCTTGTGGGACGCTGGAAGCCCTCTGCTCGTGTCTCTGCGGGGCTGCGGAGTGGAGGTGGACTGCACGGCACGCCAGCAATGGTCGTGGTGGTGGTGCGTGTTGTACGGTAAACCGCCGCGCTTTCCTTGCTTGTTTTTGTTTGCTGTTTCCTTGTTTGTTGCTTGCTTTTCTTTGCTGTTTCGTTGTTTGTTTCCTTGCTTGCTGCTCGTTTTTCTTTGCTGCTTCGTTGTTGTTTGCTTGCTTGCTTGATTGCTTGCTTGCTTGCTTGCTTGCTGTTTGCTACTAACCCCCCGTGGTCCCCATGCAGGTCCCACACGAAGGGTCCCCACCTCAACGTGGTGTGTGGGTGAACACTAGGGGTTAACTGTCATGATAGGCTCTTAGCTAGGAAACTATGTTGGGAGCCATGGCTAGGGTTTTGGACTTAGGAAAGTGGCGAGAGAAAGGAGATGGCCAAAAGAGGGGTTGCACTAGAAAGAGTGGTACAAGATATAGGCAAGGCAAAGGGTACACCACCAGCAGTTGATATAACTAACCTAATACACTAGTAAGCTGTAGGCAGGTATAAGATATGCAATATAAATTAACACACCCCCGTAACTGCCTACGGCTATAGCTAGTGGTGTCTGGTAGCAGGTCGCCTGAAGAGCAGTTGCTGTAGCTGGGATACGCACAGAAACAGCGGTGGCTGATCGGCAGCACCTCTGACTGCCAGAACGGAGAGAGGAGGGCGTAGGCTGCCGGTGTTACACACCAACGGTTGGATAGGAGGAGGAAGCGTGGCGGAGAGCGTAGGCTGCCGGTGTTACACACCAACGGTTGGATAGGAGGAGGAAGCCGGTGGTGTACATGAGGCGGATGAGAGGAGGAGGAAAGGTGGAGGCGACTGGAGAGGCGGCTGAAGGAGCAAATAAGCGGAGGAGGAGGCGGCTGGAGGATAGGAAGTGCAGCGGAAGGAGGAGGAGAAGGGGAGGCGGCTGCCTTCAAATAACCGCCACCCCCACACCCTATTCCTCCCCCCCCCCAACGCGGCACGCACTGCAGAAGCACGGGCAGCGACGAGGAGGAGGATAAGGGAGGGGCGGGGGGGATTTCAAGGGGGTTTGAGGACCCCCACAGCCTCGGGTGCCAAACCCGCCACCTCCCCACCACATCGCCCGTCGAAGCAGGGCGCAGCAAGTGGAGGGGCGGTGGGTAGCGGGCTGGCGCAGGCTGGTGGCGCGCACGCTGCGCGCTGGCGGGAGCGACGGGGCGACGGGGCAGCAGCACGAGCGTGGCCGCGACGAGCGCGACCGAAACGCGCGTGAAACGGGAGGGCGTCGGGGCGCGTTTCGGGCAGGCCGTCGGGGCGCGATTCGGGCAGGCCTTCAGAGCGCGAAATGGGGGACCCGCGAGGGTCGTCCATGGGGCGACTCGGGGGACCCGTGGGGCGCATTACGGGCTGCGCGACGGCGGGTGGGCCCATGCTCATTAAAATAAAAGGGAAGGTTCTAGGATAGAACCTGCTCTGATAGCATGTCATGATAGGCTCTTAGCTAGGAAACTATGTTGGGAGCCATGGCTAGGGTTTTGGACTTAGGAAAGTGGCGAGAGAAAGGAGATGGCCAAAAGAGGGGTTGCACTAGAAAGAGTGGTACAAGATATAGGCAAGGCAAAGGGTACACCACCAGCAGTTGATATAACTAACCTAATACACTAGTAAGCTGTAGGCAGGTATAAGATATGCAATATAGATTAACATTAACCCCCCTAGTGGCCAAGAGGGGCCCACAAGACCCAAGAGAAGACCATGGCGCGCTTTATTATTGCATTATCATTGTAGGTTTATATGATTGCCTGAATAATGATACATCTGCTTAGGTTATATGGATCAAACAAATACGTCCCAGGAAGGACATTTGAATTGAAACTTGGTAGTAGCATTCACAACAGTAGCCTAGGCGGCAGAAGAGCTGATGAAGAGAATTATTCATGCATGCACAATGGCATAATGCAGACATTCCGATCAATTCATGCAAATCAGAAACAAAAGTCCCTGTCATGGGACATAGCTACTTGTGTTGCTACTCCTGGCAATGCTGTGTGCTGCTGAGGCATCACCAACAGAGACTCATGGGAGTCCCTACCTACCAACACGGTGACAGCATGCTGAAGTGTGAAAGATTGTGACAGCATCCACCGTGACTGTAAGCAGTCATATAACCTTTATACCCCTTAACACAAAGGGAGCAGATAATCACAGCAAAGCCATCTTGGCTCAGGTGATCTTCCAGCCTAGTTATGTCATAGCCATGTACACTGAACCGTAAGGAACCCGAGATGGAAGAAGCCATAACCGTAGGGAACCTCTCCGGTTTCTTTGTCTTGACAGCCAGGGCGGAGGGAGAAGCAGCGAGAGTCGATTTAAGTGGCATAGACCCGTGAAGTAGCGAGAGTCGATTCCAGTGGCATAGACCCGTGAAGCAGCGTCGATTCCAGTGGCATAGACCCGTGAAGCAGCGAGAGTCGATTCCAGTGGCATAGACCCGTGAAGCAGCGTCGATTCCAGTGGCATAGACCCGTGAAGCAGCGTCGATTCCAGTGGCATAGACCCGTGAAGCAGCGTCGATTCCAGTGGCATAGACCCGTGAAGCAGCGTCGATTCCAGTGGCATAGACCCGTGAAGCAGCGTCGATTCCAGTGGCATAGACCCGTGAAGCAGCGACGATTCCAGTGGCATAGACCCGTGAAGCAGCGGGAGTCGATTCCAGTGGCATAGACCGAGATGGCAATGCTGACGAGCGCCACTATGAATGCCTGAGAGGCACAAACGGGATGGGAAGGGGACGGAGATTGAAGGACAAGTACCAGTTTGTGGGTCGGGAAAAATGCTCGGCTGGGGGCTGGATGTATGCACGTCATTCGATGAAGCATGAATAAGAAGCGTACAACAGTGGTAAACAATACAAGTTGGGGTGTTCTCACCAGAATATCAAGCCACCAGAATGTTGTATGCGGTATGGCGAGGCCGAGTGTTGCATGCCTCGGCGGACGGCTCACTCATGATTGCCGACCAGCAGAGGAAGACAAAAGACACCGCCATGACGCCTGTGGTGAGCGGCCCTGCCTCCACCTGCAGACACGCACATACAGATACAGATACAGATGCAGATGCAGATGCAGATGCATGCAAGTGGGATAGGCGGCTACCAGGTGACTTACAGTCAAAATTCTTACAGCTATTCTGCATCACGTGATTGACCTGGATATGCAGCATCGGGCTATGTAGTACCAGGCAAGACACACAACAACCGCAGCAACAACTCGGCCCCAACTCACCCACGGCCTAGGTACCCAACAACTCGCCCCAACCTACGAGTTGTTGGTGCAGCACACACACAGCAGCTGATGAATCTACATGCCCTCATCATGGAACTGCGTACCATGCAGCCAGCCCAAAACTTTGACTTGCTTATACACAACACGAATTTCAGAACACTCTCCCCACTTTCCACACACTATGCAATACGCAGGACACAGCACTCATTACATTCAACTCAACCCTACTCATGCATGACTCAACCCCCCACTATTCCCTCGTTTCCCCTCCCCACCCATGGCCCCACCAGCTATGCGCGGGAAAACGCCCTGGAGGGCAGCATCCCTGCCAATCTGGGTAGCCTCAGCCGCTTCACCATCATGTAAGCCAGCACCTCCAGAAGTGACTATCAAGCTGACTCAAAACTCGCCTATGTGTGGGTGGGTCACCTCATGGCCTCAGCGTTGATGAAATACGCCACGCTGCCATGGTCAGCTCGTCATGGCTCCATGAGCGAGATGGGAGGAACTGAGGGAGGAACTGAGGGAGGAACTGAGGGAGGGACTGAGGGAGGAACTGAGGGAGGAACTGAGGGAGGAACTGAGGGAGGGACTGAGGGAGGAACTGAGGGAGGGACTGAGGGAGGAACTGAGGGAGGAACTGAGGGAGGAACTGAGGGAGGAACTGAGGGAGGAACTGAGGGAGGGACTGAGGGAGGAACTGAGGGAGGGAGGAACTGAGGGAGGGAGGAACTGAGGGAGGAACTGAGGGAGGAAGGAACTGAGGGAGGAACTGAGGGAGGAACTGAGGGAGGAAGGAACTGAGGGAGGAACTGAGGGAGGAACTGAGGGAGGAACTGAGGGAGGAACTGAGGGAGGAACGAAGGGAGGAAGGAACTGAGGGAGGGACTGAGGGAGGAACTGAGGGAGGAACTGAGGGAGGAACTGAGGGAGGGAGGAACTGAGGGAGGGAGGAACTGAGGGAGGGACTGAGGGAGGAACTGAGGGAGGAACTGAGGGAGGAACTGATGGAGGAATTGAGGAAGGAACTGAGGGAGGAACTGCGGGAGGTACTGAGGGAGGAACTGAGGGAGGGACTGAGGGAGGAACTGAGGGAGGAACTGAGGGAGGAACTGAGGGAGGAACTGAGGGAGGAACTGAGGGAGGAAGGAACTGAGGGAGGAACTGAGGGAGGAAGGAACTGAGGG